TGGTACCTGGTCCAGCTGATTAAAAAAAAATAAATAAAAAAAAATAAAAGACTAACAGATGAAAAATTTTGCAGAGTTTGAGGGAGCTGGCCGCAGCATCTGAATGCACAGCTGTACATTCATTACATTACACACGTAATGAAAATTCCATACTACATGTGATAACAGCTGAACCATCTCCATGACAACTGCCCACTGATGAAGACTGTGCGATGAGGTTGAAGGCTTCAAAGAAAACTACTAAGTGGATGTTCTTCTTTCTTAAACTCCTGTTTTTCCAAGGTCAAGAATGAACTTTCATGCTCAGGACTGGTTTTGGATCATTCTGTGGAGATATTGTTTTCATGAAAATTATGTCAATAAAGTTGTTCAACTTATCGAAATGAGAAACTTGAGACTTAAATACGCTGTGAGGAATCTGAGAAGTGTCGTCACACTGGATCATTTTAGCACCAATTCTAGGCTTAAATGAGGGAGGTACTTCCAACCACCATCCTCAAAACCAAACAATGCGTGTTCAAAAGCCAACAGAGTTTGGATATAATCAAAACAGAAAGTTTGAGAGTGGGATGATGGTAATGATGAAAAGTTGGGGAAATACTGTTGGTACATGAAGGACAAAGTGAGTGAGCAGGAGCGAGAGAAGCTCCCAGCAGGAGGCTATAACAGAACTTTAACCTGATCAGGAATCCAAGACAGGCTGCTGCAGCACTCTACACGCTGCCTCTCAGAAACATAATGCACTTCAGACTACTTTTTAAAGCAACTCAAATGCCACTGTTAATGGCTGTTAGCATTACAATGCTGTACATTCATCCTCATGTACAGTGAGCTGACAGTAATAGTGAAGTGTCTGTGCTGACAGAGCCAACAACAGAAATGCTTAGTTTAGAGTACTTAATCTGCTGTTAAGGCAAACACATCCTCAGTGCAGAGACCCCTGAAGATGTTAGCAGCAGATTCTTTAAGCCCTGTAAGTTGCAAGGAGGGGATTCCATATGCCGGAATTAGTTGTACAGCACATCCCACAGATGCTGGATTGGAATGAGACTGCCAGCATAAAGTCAGGTGTCAGGTTTTCCGGCTTGCCTTTCCCCGATATTAGATGTGAATTTAGCTTCTTAAGAGTCCTTTTCAGTCTTAACCTCAGCTAATCATCATCGTAAAAATCAGAGAAACCATAAAAATAGCATTAAAGAATTGCAGAAGAGAGCATCAGTAGTTTTTAACAATATCCTCTGTGCATATTTAGTTTTCAGTTTAGTTTTGTGTGTAAAATCACTGCAGTGAACAAGACTGTGCAAGACACCGCAGTGGCGCTCAAACAGAACTGTATTCTCACCTCGACTCACCCGGTACATCTTCACCACCTGCACATATGGATTGTGTAAATGATTAACGTCTGGAAATAAAGCCAGGGACAGCTCTCGCACAATCGCCAGTCCTAATCATGATGCAGCCAAACATAACAAAACCAACATAAAAAAATGTGTCCACCTGTCAAACCTCCATCTTCCAATGATCTCCCAGGGTGGGGGAGACCACTGACAGAAGCGATCGTTTTTTGGGAGGTGTGAAGTACTCTGTATGATTGCTGATTGTATTAATACTGCGTGCGTAATGCTGCATGGCTGCGCTATGGCACTGCAGAGGACAGCATGAATGGAAGGATTACAGAGTGTCCATGAGGGACCATGATGATGACTGGCTATGATTTCGATTTCGATTCTTTAGAGTCGTGCTCTTGGATCTGTGCGCTAAACTGGGTCCAGCATTAGACAGATTAGCCTGACGGAACCATGCCATCCCGAGTAGGCTATAATCACTGTTACCAGCGGGAGCAGACAGGTGTGTGTCTGATGGGATCAACAATAGGTCTATAGTGTTTACCTTTCTACCTAAATTCTTTGTTTAGAATAATGTAATTCTATTAAACTCTCTGAATTTTATTTTGTTTATGAACAAGCTGGATCAAACAATGAGTGCTTTATAACTTCCACCTCCCAAGCACCACAGAAAAAACTCTTTCCAGCCATTAGGAGTCTCCATTGTGACACTCTGCCACTCCGTCGTTTTGCCTTTGCTGCTGATCCAAGAGCTCAAATCATCAAATGAAATATTTCTTCTCGCCTCCACTTCAGTGATAAGCACCACAATCTCACACTCAGTGTAGTTTCTCTTTTTCGCATGTTTTGCAGCAGGATCGGCCGTTGTTAGTTGGACTTGATCATTTGCATAGTAATTTATGGGAGGAGCCAGGGCGGGATATGAAGCTTGTGCGTGTGCGCCCAATTTCACGTTGATTGGGATGTATAAAGGAAAGGTTTGCACCCAAAAGCCAAAAATGGTGTACGGCAAAAAATATTCAGACTTATAAAACCGTGCGTACACACACTTTTAAGCAAGTTCCCTTTTTCAAATCACAATCAACTTGAAATGTGGCGCACGTGATGTGTGACCCTTCAAACGCCCATAGTTGCCTATAAATGGTCAGTGAAACGCCCCTCATTAATATTAATACAGAAGAAAGAAAAGGAGGCAAATTCTGACAGAGAAGCTAAAAAAATTAAATTTAACTCAAGCAACGTTTGTGTACCGGAAGAAAGGGGGCACAGGAGCTCCACCCCTTTATAACCGATCTGCAGGAACCGACATCCCTCCTGAATAATAATAATAATAATAATAATCCTTATTTGTAGAGCACTTTTCAAAAACAAGTTACAAAGTGCTTAAATAGTGACGTCATTTGCTGGAGGGGTCACACACGCAAGACTGGATGACCCAGGTAGGTTTGGAGTCCCCAGTTTGAAAAGAGAGTGAACCAAACGCATTCCGCTTGTGTTTGAACATTTATTTAGGCTACACAAACAGCCCACTCACTTAACGAGGCTGCCGATGAGTTAAAATAAATATGACTTGTTGTAAATGACAAAATAGTGTTATATTTCCATTATATGTATGTATGTTTTTACAAGCAGCACATCACATCCACACGCTGGCGCACAGCGTTTGGCTCGAAAAGGCAACGAACATCTGAACAATAGGCAATATGAAATTATGCTCTCGTATTTGCTCGACTGACCCATTGAAAACGGCATCAATTTAAATGTAATTTGACCTCCTGTTCACCTTATTTATGAGAATAAATTGCACTGCATGCAAGTATTAATTAATATGATTCCGGATTAAACTGTCCAACATAATTGAGGCGTTTGTTTGCAGAAACAGATCTCTGTTTGTGTTTATTATCCTAAATCTGGATCTTTTTGTGCCCTGCAAATGATCTTAAATTGTGTGGTTTTTTTGCACACTAAAGGGAAAATCAAACGGGTGTTTGTTTATTCAGAAAGGCCTTAAGCCTATAATACTCAAAGCTAATATTTCGATTTATTTTACACAATAGTAGGCCTATTCATTTCAAACCGTTTCATCCTTCTGCCATGTGTGTCACCATTTGTGCGTACGCATGGTTCAGAGTTTACTTACAGCACCGCACATTCTGACATTGGCCCGTGTCTAAGTCGCTCATATCCTTACTCTTGCCATTTTTCCTGCTTCTAACTCTTCACTTTGAGGACACAATGTTCACTTCCTGCCTGATATATCCCCCCACTGACAGGTGCCATGGAAACGAGATAATCATTGTTATTCACTTCACCTGTCAGTAGACATGATGTCATGGATGATCAGTGTATTTCAACAGCACAAATCCCATCCGTACAACAGAGTCATGTTGTACGGATGGGCCACTCACCCACACCCGGGTTTCTCTTTTTTAACACAAATACTTCTACATTCAGTAATTTATACACAAATCAGTTCTACTTTTTTGTTCAGTGTCAAGCTACCCACACTAAAATCAACACAGATATTTCACATTCAGTTCTAGCAGCTGGGGCAGGGCATAAACTGTTACTTGTTAGGCTTTTAATGAGAAACTTCTGCAAGAAGTGTTTTGCTAATAGAAATACATAGCGGGTGAGAGTGAGAGCAGCTGAGTGCTGAGTATGACATGACTGTTGTACTGATGGAGTTGGTCCAGTGAAAATGAACACTAGGGAGTCATTTCCCATGTTAGCCATCATAGCACCTTTATTTATTAGTGCTGCCAACTAATATTTGATACTGTATATACTGACTTGTATTTTAGAATTTACTGTAATTTCCCTCCCAGCATTCCGTCCCAGTATATGGCTTCTTTGAATAAATTAACATTTTATCATCCCACACATGTTGATGGCTTATATGAGCTTGATAAAGTTAATGAGCAGATAAAATCAGAGCTGTGCTGACTGAATCATGGCTCTGTATCAACTCTCTTAACCATCTTTATAAGGTAATTTGAGGAAAGCTAAAGCGTGAGAGTAACACTTATTAAGTGTGTCTTAGTGGAGTGTTGTAATGCTTTAAACATAATGGGGCTAGACAGTTCAGCCAGACCGGACAGCAAAGGGAGTGCGTGGCAGAGGTGCCGCATCGGTGTCACCTGCTAATTAAGATTGATCCAAACCCCTGCTGGCTGTGCTGCACTATCGGACAGCACTACCCATAAATCTTTGCAGTGACTCACCACCGCCTCTCTCCCCTACCTATACTTACAAGACTTTGTGCCCTATAGCCTGCACACCTTATGCTGGTCCTGCAGGCCTAGATTTAAACTTTAATTTACAGCGCACACACACACACCCCCCCCCACACCAACACACTGTATTAATGTGTTTATTATTAACAGGGAGAGCTACTCCTCCAAGCTCATCACACATGTAACATGCAGCTTCTATCCAGATAACAACCACATATTGATTCAACAAGAACAATCCTACATGGTGAGTCATGCAGTGACTGATGAATCAGCCAGGAGAATGTGTGTGGAGAGGAGAGATCGCAAAAGATGGACAGACCTGCTTCAGGACCAACAGCTGCTATGACAGACCTTTACTCTGACTCCGTACTGCTGTCACTGGGCAGATATGGTGAAGTTCATTCAAAACTACAGGGCTCCCCGTAATTTGCCACACACTGATTATCAGCACAAAACGACCATCATCAGTTTCAAGATAAAACTACTAGTTACTGCCTTTACAGAGTAAGGAAATAGGAGCTGTGTTACCTTTGAACTTGTGGAAGACAGCCCAGAGTTCAGCAATGTCAGTGGCAAACGTGATGTCTGTGTCCAGGACGATGACTCTCTGCAGGTCGGACAGCAGCGTCTTAGTGAGCACCAGCTTCATCAGGCCGTAGATTCCAGAGTAATGCTTGTTGGGGATCCATGACACCTCAGACTGAAACATCACACCAAAGCAGGGTTAGGATCATTTGCTGTTAAACTGGCTGAATTTTAAATTTTAAAGTTAGATAACAGCATCCTTAAAGAGGGTTTACATAGCTCATAATTTCTCCAAAGAATTACATAAAGTAGCAGTCAGATCATTAAGCACTACAGGATTGTAAGATAAGTTGAATGCATGTCATGGTTTGGATTTTCAGTTTTAATATTTCCTGTTTTATTCTCGGTTTAGCCTGTTAAGATTTCGGTTTTCTGGTTGGGGTTTCATGATTTCTGTATTAGTTTGTTCATTCATTTGTTTTGTTTTGCATATGTTCCTTGTTCCATGTCTGTCCCGTGTCCTGTTTTGTACAGTAATTGGCTGTCTCTGTTCCCTGGCTCTCCAACCTGTGCTAGACTACCCTCTCTTCCTGATGTGTGTGTGTTGTCCTTAGCCAGTATTTAAGTCCTCAGTTCTTTTCAGCCTTTGTCATGTCCTTGTCATTGTTGAGTGTTCTGTCCATTTCCGCATTCTTGGGATTATTCTGTTGATCATCAGCTCTGTTTGGAGTTTTTGTTACTTTGTTAGTATACTACCTGTGTTTGGACGAGTAGTCCTGTGTATTTCTATTTTGTTTTTTGGAATAAATCACAAGAACTGCATCCTGCTAGTCTGAGTCTGCATCTGAATCCAACCTCCTTTGTTCTCCTGCCTCTGCAGTCAGCTTTCCTGACATTTCTGAGGGAAGCTGGGAGTTAGTGAGGGGAAGAGAAGTAGGTGTTCTTCACCTTCAGCTCATCTGCGTCATAGAAGTCGACTCTGACAGCAGGAACCATCCAGGTATGGAATAGAGAGGACAGGATCTGCTGAGCAATGGAGTCTGTGATGAAATGGAAATGTAGTGGGTTCCGCCTGTGGGCACACACAAACACCCAGACATGAATAGGTTAAATAATAATATAATAATAAGCAAAAAATAGGAAAACAGTGTGATGTAGGCTGGAACTATGTCTGGATTTAATGGAAAAGGAAAACAATTTTAAGAAACAAAATCAACCTAACCAATTTGTAGATACATTTGTTTTAGCTTTTTGACTAAATATGACATTGTACTATGTTCAGGCTAACCAGCCTAAATTTGAAATTACCATAAAACCAGCACAATTTGTCATTTTGTGTTAAACATTACTGAACATGCATAAATAGGCTACCTGGGATTCAACAATGGCCTAATAAATGGCTAACCAATCAGAAATGTTTACATCATAGTGATCGTACATCAGGGTTTATTCATTTTTTTATTTTTGCTAAGACATAAAAACAGTGTTAAACCCCGAACGTGAATGTTCCAAGTTTGTAAAAATACAACCATTTGGCCACCTTTATGAGATAAGATTAGACTGTTTATTAGTCACACTACTAAGGCCAGTGGAATTTGTTTTTGTGCCGTATGCTAAACTCTGCAGCACAATACATATAATACATACATGGACATCAGCACACACGCCACATAATACTGCAAAATAATTTTAGGGACACATCAGGTAATTGGAATGCATGCCAGAGGTGTGTGAGGAGGGGGCTGGATGGAACAGTTCAAAGTCCTTATTGCTGTGGGAAAAAAAGTTGTTCATGAAGCGTTAAAATAGGACAGTAAAGCAGCAGACAAACAAGGGAAAGTGAGGGAGGTGTATGATGTGGAATGGACATATTTTGTCCTCGTCAAACCAAAATTTAACGTATCCAAGGAACATGTACTGTTTGTGTATCCAAAGCCTGAGATATGTTATTCCTCCATTGTTGTCGGAAAAACTTTTAAAAACACATCAGTGAGCCACTTCGCTGCACTGGGTGATATGTTCCTTCATCTCCATGAACACACACACACATTTGTATGTATTTTGATTCAATCCCACATACACCGTCCTGCTGCTCCGAATACTCACTAGAGCACCAAATGTGGATTAATCTGCGGCTGAAAACGGTCCCCAATGAATGCACAGTTCCTCCTGTTTGAGTAACGTTTGTTAATAACCACAGTGGCCAGCTGTACGTTTTCAGTAGGAATTCCGTATTGTATTTAATATTTAATCCGTATTTAATTCAGACATGATTTAATAATGGAGAACGTCACCCACTTTTGTTCAAATATAATATAAGGGTCTTGTAGAACAACATTTACATTCCTCTAAGTATAGTTATCAAAAAAGTACTTTTTTACTACATTATTGGCCAAAGTAATGAAAATGTTTAAATGATGTCCAGCCTTGACTTGACCCTTTAAGATACCAAGCATGATGGCCACAAAGACATATTCCAATCTACTCCTATTTCTTGCCATTGTTTTTGCTTTAATTTTCAGAACAAAATAACGTGTTCATGAAGAGTGTTATATGATTGAAAGCTCCAAAACAAGGGAGTAATTGGGGCTTGAGCAGAAATTCTTTGGTCAACTTCAAGTATAGAGTTTGGGGATGAGTGCATGCAGTCAGTCCTGAGGCTGGTAAAGCAGACACAGTGCAGTGAAGGAGATGATTCATCAGACAGGACAACCAAAGCTTCCTTCACAGAAGCCTGTATACACGGTTTCTTACATCAGCTCACACACATAGAAAAGGGGAATGTGCAAAATAGATATTCAGGACTTCCAAATCAGGTCAAGACATAGTGACACTGAGCTGAGGATGTGAGCACCCTGGGGTGTCTTGTGCTGAATGACTTTGGGAATGAATGTGTCAGCTGCACTTGCTCAATAAGTACTGGGGGCTGGAAGCTGTCATAATCAGAACTCTGGTTGCTTACAAGCTGGCAGCAGCAGCGCAAATAGAAAGGGTCTTCACAGCCTCTGGACAAACAGCAACAAGCCTTTCACTGGATGCTTGGGATTATTCTGATAAGGAAGCAAATATGTCAAGTACATCCTGATTATCAAAACTGGGCCCATGATAATTTAATCATCTAATCTACATAATGCAATATTGTTATCTAGTTCCAATTAAGACTTTTAGAGTGGACACAGATACAGATTGACTGTGCGCCCATCTGCTCAGAGAGGATTGAAGGATTGTCCTGAACCTGACCATTACTTGCACCATGTGTAGAGCAGGGATGCACCCATCCAACCATTTCTCTCCCAATACAGATTCCAGTGCTCAAAGTCAGGGTACTGGCTGTACAGCTGTCATGGGACTGTGTTGTTATAAAACATCCACCTCAGTCCATATCCTGACCTGAATGCCTAAAACATGTAACATGAACAGCTCCTTTTTGGATCTACTAGTTTGAAATGTACATATGGTGTTGATCATTTGCAAATACCGTGTGTCATTTGAATGAGTTAACATTCACTCACTCATTCAGTCACTTCATACAGAGGGCCTGTGCTCATTAGGCATGCTTCAGTAATCCATCCATGCTTCACACCACAGTTAAGGGTCCTCATTACAAGCTTGCATTTCTGCACCTAACAATTTCAGCTATGCATGGCCCCATCGTTCTCATTAGAAACCAATGCCAACCTTCTATGGTAGTTGCTAAAAGGTTGTCAAGAAGACAAGAGTGTTGTTTCTGGGCTATTCTCTTTTTCTCGTGTTTTGCCAGAGATCCGTATCATAAAGCAACCACCACAAAGAAAGTGCCAAAATATCTAGTTTACGAAAAGGAAAGGAAACACTGTAGCGAGTTTTGGTAGTGTTGGTTATGTCATTTAAGTTGCAGAATGACAATATTATCAGGAATGCACCAAGATTTTAGTCATCAAGCCACTTTCATATAATTTAACTGATAGCGGAAACACTAAATTACATAACTGCATTGACAAAAAAATGTGTTTTTTATGTGGATCAATCACATTTAGTGGATACCTGATGTGCCTAGGTCAGTTTCAATGCCAATACCAATCAAGTGGATTGCACTGGTGCATCCCTAGTGTATAGCAGTGGGTTGCTTTTTTTTTTTAAACCTATAGTAGGATCTTTTTAGTCACGGGCTGTTGTAACCAAGCATGTTTGGTGTGGTTGATATGATCTTAGATACAATTTTGTTTTCAATCTCACATTGTAGCGTGGAAGGGAAAAACAAAGCACTTGGATAATATCGATGTATTTCCCCAAACCACACACAAACAGCTCTTTCTGTAATGACTTATGTAGTGTGTTGCTGATCGCACAGATGATGTTTTGGCATCTTCTCTCATGACTTGTGAATTACGCAGCCCATACCTTGAGAAAAAAATAGGTTGTTTGTCATTTCAATCCGAAACAACCTATTTGAGCATTTTCTGGTTTTCTGGTTCATCATATATCACAACAAAATGTTGTCAGTCAGTGCCTTCCAAAATGATAAGCATTGTATATAACCACATAATCATTATAAATTCCTCAGCTATTAATTTATATCTGTTAAAGTTTAGGCAACTAAACTACAATACAAATACCTACTTGATTAAGGTTAGGAAAAGATTCTGGTCATGATTAAAAGGAACCAATGTTGACTGCTGGTAGGAACCGTCAGATGTTTTGTATGTCCAACCATCCACCCATAAAGAGGTTTTGCAGCATGTTACAACATCTACTACTTCCACTTTTTCTTCTGACAGAGAGCAGTTATCATTTGTACAGCCACGAGAGGTCCATGATACAAACACATAGGTCATTTAAAGATTTTAAACAGATGACTGATGCTGTTGTTTTTCTGGTGAGGACAGTCTCGGATTATCCTGACAGAACATATACAGCTGCTGTTTGACAGATCAGAATGATACCCCCCACCCCCCCCCCCCTTTTAACTGAATACAACAGAAAGAGGCCCCCTTCCAGGTGGGACAGTATCAATCACACAGTGACAGCCATTCTACAGGGCTCTCCATCACTGAGGCAAGAGCTGAATGTGTGGCAAATATTTGATTTACAGTGTAGGCTAAACAACACATGGCTGCAGGAAATTAACTGACTGGTGTAGCACAGTAACTATGCCATATAAATTTAAATCCTGCTTCGAAAGGGAATTTATTAGCATATTCAATAATTCATCACAAATTAACAATATATGAAAGAAACACAGCTGGAGGGCTATTTGATAAAAGCTGCAGGTCAGTTTATCGCAGGGAAAGGCAGTGTTTGACAATCACTGTCCCATGTCCCATCCCATCCGTTCAGTCTCTCAGCAGAATGCCCCACACTATCAAATGGCAGTCCAACAGGCTGACCTCTCAGGCGTCTGTCCTCTCACATATTTGTCACTCAGCGGTAAAACAACAGTGAGTCAACATTTAAACATCCCTTCTGATTAAACAGGGCCGGCGGGGTTTAGCATATTAGCTACACTGCTGGTGACCGGTCCTCAACAAAAAAAGGCCATTTCTGTCCTAACCAGCACCCGTCATCTCGTGAATTAGGGTGGAATCGGTAAACTCTACCCTGCTCATGGCTGATTCATTAGGAAGGCGTCATATTTCGGGAACCTCATTTCAATGATGCTGAGGTCTAGTCTTTCATCTAACTCTCAAGTGCAAATGTCCTCATACCTTATCATCTATTTAACACTTAAATGAACCTTTTGAAACTCAGGCTGTGTGTGCTCCCCTCTCTTTACTTCCAGTCATACGGCTTAGTCACTCCATGCCTCATTTTCAGAATAACAGAAAAAAACTTAAATTGGCATGCTAAGTGGTAATATACATGTTATGGGACTTTTTTTAATGAAAAATAGAAGTTCTATACGATTTGTATTTGTTTCAATGTTTTTGCTGCATCTAAAGGCCTCAAAGTCGATTTGCCATTCTATATCTTTCTTCTGGCCAAAAATATACTGATAGTGGAAAGCTAATGTTAATGTTATAATTCCTATAATAAAAGTTTTTATTCTTATGTCCATTTGGGATGAAGAGAGAGAGGTTTCGTGTGTAGTTGACATTAGGATTAAGGTCAGAAAGCTGCTTTTATTTATCCAGGTAGGTTGGTAAATAACCAAATTTGTCAAGCTCAGAAGCCAACAGATCTCTTATTATCCCTTTTTCTCTTCCTACTCTTTTTTTATTTAATCAGCAAAGAACAGCTTCTCATTTAACATTAATTCCAGAAATCACAAAAGGGAAACTTTTGGCTGTTCTCTTGTGAATGTGCTCTCTGCAAGCCAGTGTCTGTACTCAGACAGCACCGTTTCTATGCTTTTATAAGTAAGCTTTGGCTAACACCATCCTACAACTGCAGGAGGAGAAGTGTTTTTGGAGTTGAAGAGTGGTCTTCATCTCATCAACTTAATAATTCTGGATCAGGACCTGCTTAGTTAGAAAAATACACATCAAATACCATCCATCCATCGTCAGCCGCTTATCCTGCGTACAGGGTCGCGGGGAGCTGGAGCCAATCCCAGCTTATATCGGGCGAAAGGCGGGGTACACCCTGGACAGGTCGCCAGTCCATCGCAGGGCCGCACATAGACAAACAACCAGTCACACTCACATTCACATCAAATACATATTTAAATATTATAGATACACACTGAATCAACATTTGATATTTTCTGCTGATAATCTCATTTGTTGTAACTATTGCTAAAGCTAAGTAGGCTTCCATTACAACCTTTCAGCCAACAAATGCTGAATACAGGTCATTATGTTTTAGTTATTCATAAATTGAGTTACTTGCAAATGTTAATAATTAGACTGGATTGACAGATTTATGCCTAAATAAATAAACAAAATACAATACATATTGTCATATGTATTTCCTTTTTATGAATGCATTTACTGTCTTATCATTAAATAAAAAAAGTCACTAATATATACACACACACACACACACACACACACACACACCAACCGGGTTGGTGTAGGAACATTAAGAAGTAAAAAAATGCATAGCTGTACCTGTGGAAAAGGACAGATTTAACCAGTGTCACCACGTCTCGACTGGCGTTGTAACCTGCACATACGATGGCCACATGGATGGTCTGTGGAGATCGGGAGAAGAGAGAAGGATTATTAGGATAAGGAATCGATTAAAAGAAATATTGGTTAAAGAAGAAAGAAATTCATTCTGCACGTCATAAGGTAGAAAAAAACATTTGAATTTGCTGAGTAGAAATAAAAAGAAAAAAAAACGCACTCTCTCTTGAATTTTAGCAAAAAGTACAGTGGAACATTCCTGAACTTACTTCAAAGCATCAAGGGAATGCCGTGTGTATGGAAACCTATGAAGTTTAACTAAAGTTAAAGTTATAATGCCAAAATATTTTAGTCCAAAATCCATTTCTGCCTAGATTGTTGCTCATTAACACAAAATTCTCCCACAGGATATTCATTCAAAGTTTCATATATATTTCAGAGGTTTAAAAGAAAACTCAATTTGCTATTCGACTAATTCTTATTTTCATAGCTTTTTTCATAGCAATTATCTGAACCAACCAAAAGTGGAAATTACCATTATAATTGTTAATTGTAATTGTACAAAGGGCAGCTAGGACACCAGCTCTGTTAAAGTAATTTGTTTAGAGCAGGAGTTTTTGCAGTCTGTCAGAATCAAGAGACCTGCGATTATTTTGATACATCAGAAATAATAAATAAGGATATATAATAGGATTCAGGGCATCTGCTGTCAGGGCCCTACACTTTGGAACAGTCTGTGAGAGGAGATCAGGCTTGCAGAGTTTCATCTCACTTCAGACACAAAAAGCTATTACTGTGTGATGTGTAATTTATTTTTTCTATTATCCGTATATTGACTTGTTTATGTTTTATGTATTGATTATAAACCATTGCATGATGCGTAATTTATTGTACCTTCATTTTTTTATAGACTTGTTTTTGTTTTATATATTCCTTGTACACCACTGTGTGTGATGCAGATTTTTTTTTGACTTGTCTGTGTTTTTACATTGATTGCTATGAAGCACTGTGTTACCTGTATTATTACAAATCTTTTTCAGACTTGACCAAGTTCCTTCAGAACTGCTAATATTCAACTGCTTTCCCAGTTGTACCTCTCATAAATTAATTGTGACATGTTAAGTACGTAAAGGCCTTTGCACACCGAACCAACAAATATATCATACAAATATGTTTATATGGTTTTTTTTAATCAGTCATCAAAAAAGTCCGGTGTGTTAAATTATTTTGATTCATTGTGAAAATTCACGATACCAGACACAGTGGAGTCGTCAAGCAGTGAGGATGATTTTGTGGACGCCTTATCTTGTGTGGCCCATGCTGTGTTTAGCAGAGTCACTTTGCACCCAGCAATGAAGTTTGTGTGTAAGATGTTATCACAGCCATCAGGAATGATGGTCAAAATTACAAAAATAACGAGGTTATAAGATTTTTGGTGGGCCCGTCACTTTATAGTTTCAGTTTTATTAAAATATTAAAATCTCTAGAACAGTGTCCCCTGACCGTTTGCCACCAAATTCCAGATAGGACAAGTGCTGAATTGTTAATAATGTTCATCTGAGTCACCTTCAATATTGCGTTCTCACGGCAATAAAGATTTTCAAGAAGCAGCAAGTCCACATTTATTTGCCCAGGGATAGGTTGTCCTATCACAGTTTTAGGTCCCAAGCATGACGGTATACATAAAATAGAAATAAAGTACAGACAACAAAACCTCCCCTCAGCATTCAGCCATCCTTCCTTGGCCTAGGGAGAGCCAGGTCAGGTGGTCCACAGACAAAAGGTTGAATGTTACCTTATGCCACTCTGAGATTGTTGGAGGCTTATTTCAAATCCATTTTAATAATATACTCTTCTGTGCAGCATCGGTTAACACATTCAACAATTTTCGCTTATAGGTCCCCTGGATCTGTGGGTGTGTCAAACTTTTTTTGATATAACAGAAAATTATCTTTTTATGACAGTGTGAACAGGCCAAGTCACATGGAATCTCATCTTTTCACATGCAGCATGCCTTTCATATGTGTTCCAAATTTGTTACAGAGCGATCTGGAGACTCAGTTCAAAATTGATGCGACTTTGACATCACTCTAGAGCAGCTGTTGTCACAGCTCTGCTGTAGCCGCGGTGAACAAAAAAAGGCTCCTCAAAAAGCCAGTATTAAACATGTGTCTCTCCTTGCTACCTTGCTATCATCTGCCCACAAATTACCTTTCTTCCACCGGACCGCGAGCTCTCTTCTGAGTTACGTACATGCTACTTGTCAGAGCGGAGGCAGTAGAGCAACAGAGAGAGACAGAAAGAGAGTTGTTTGTTGATTGTTCTTGTAGTTTTCTTGTAGTTTGTATGATGCTTTGGCAATATTGTTGTTATACATTCACGCCAATTGAATTGAGAGAGAGAGGGAGTTTAACTTTAGTGTGGTGTGTGGGGCAGATGCGTTGTACAGCGCCAGAAACCGTAATGAAAAGAACAGAAAGGTGTGAACATTTGTCATAATTCGTGAGAAATGTGACCCGTGAGAGGACAATGAAATACAGGAGTCCCCCGGGAAAATTGGGAGGGTTAGCAAGTAGGAGCTAACCAGAGCTAATTTCTGTGGCTCCTTGTTTACCTCTGGACAACAGCGAGGAGCTTGTGTTATTCTTCTGCGCATGCAGGTCACTCTGATATGGACCACATTTAAACTATAATGTGAACTGTCAAAAAAAAAATAAAAAAAAAACGATGTGGGGAAAATTGAGCATTAAGGCCTGCAGTCTGAATTTAGCCTTAGTGAATTTGATTTGTATAAGGGCTCTGTAAATAAAGATTATGTGTGATTATAGCATTGACAATAGAGCCATTTTAATTGCATTTGTTGTGTATAAATAAAAGCATAATAACCAATTTTGTCATAATTTATAATTTGCTAGATAATATAAATGTATATAAATGAACATCTCTCTCTCTCTCTCTCTGAGTGCATGCTGGGAGTGGAGGACAGTGAGAGTGGGTGCGCGTTTCAGCGTGATTTGTTTTGTTTGTTTGTGGTTAGTAGTGCTTTTTGTATAATTTGTAGCGGGTGGGTTCCTGAGCGGTGACGACCGGTTTCACCTGGGTCATGCCGACTCACGGAGTTGGGAATGTGGGGCTGCAGAAGCTCACGCGCCGACACGGAGTTAAACTTTGTCCAGCTGTTAATTTCTCCTTGGAGGATTGCAGCCTAGCAATTGGAGAAATTGTCGACTATGAAAGTGTGAAGTCCGCTTCCAGAATGAACAATGGAGTTGTCATCTTTCTGGATAGTGTTGATAAAGTCAGCGTGGTTGTCGAGCAAGGTGTGGTGATTCAGGACAGGTGGTGCCACTTGTTAATTCGGCCAAAAAGATTATTTTGTCCAAAGTTCCTCCGTTTATTAGTAACGAATTGTTACAAAGAGAACCGGTGAGGCATGGGCAACTAATATCACCAATTAAACTGATTCCTCTGGGCTGTAAATCCCCGCTGCTGAAACACGTTGGTTTCTGGTTTTCAAAGATAACACTGAGGAGCTAAATTTAATATTGAAGTTTAGAGTTTGACTACGTTGTTTATGCATCTTCAGAGAGAATGAAGTGCTTTGGCTGTGGAATGGAGGTCCATACTGTCTGCTCCTGTCCACAGAAACAAAATACTGAGGCTAATATCAGTGAGACTGCATCAAGAGGTTCAGAACATGAACATACACAGAATTCACAGGAGGGAAATATACAGAGTAAACAACAGGCTGGGCTGGTTCTGTTCATGTTATTCCAGGTCCTGATGGTTCAGATGTTGATGTTTCAGTTTCCGGTGGTTTGGGAGCTGCTGGGTCAGTTTCTGACGGCCCGGGAGTTTCTAGTCTGTCAGTTCTACAAGGGATTTGGGTGCTGCTGGTTCTGGTGCAGCGTTTTCAGGTTTTGCTACTAAAGATACCGTAGTAGAGGTCAGTGAGCAGTCACACACTGACAGAACTAACAGTGATATAGTTAACACACAGACTAAAGCTGGGGAGGCAGAATGTTCTCTGGAGGAGGAAAGTGAGATGTTGGCTGACAAAGATTTCTCTAAAGATGACAAAAAAAGGAAACCAAATGAAGAGCGTCAGTCTACTTGTAAAGTGAAGAAAGCTTCTCGTCAGAGTGAGTGTCAGCAGTCAGGTGAAAGTGAAGGTGATGAGGAGAGTGATGTGGAGGCTCTGGCCTCCTCACAGATGTGAACTCACAAGAGGAGTGGCTATTCTTTAATGAATAGAGTTTTCTGCAGGACACCAAGGGAGCCAAAAATGTTAAAGTGGAGAAAGTGTTTCCTGACTTACAGCTTGTCCTTGATTCAGTGAAGGCTTTTCTGTTAAAACTCCTGGAGTCCTGGGGGAGAAAGCTTGCCGTATAAAAAAACTAGTTCAGAAGGTCAAAAAGCAGTTAGAAGATGATGAATAAGTTTAATAATCTTTCTTTCTTTCTTTCTTTCTCTTGTTTTGTTTCTGTATTACAACTTTTTTTCTATGTTATGGGGGATATACATATAGGCAGCTTGAACTTAAATAGAGCAAGAGATGATGGGAAAAGGGCTTCTCTTTTCAAGCTGCTCTCCCTAAAAAAGTTAGATGTTCTTTTTGTACAAGAGACACACTGTACTGCTGATAATGAGGCTGACTGGAGGAGAGAATGGACTGGTCAAACCTTTTTAAGTCATAAAACTTGTAACAGTGGTGGGGTTGGAATTCTCTTTTCCAAAAACCTTATTCCTCAGTCCGTGGAATCTGAAGAGGTCATTAAAGGCTATCTGTTGAAAGAAAGAGCAGTGTATGAGAAAGTAAAAATTGTGTTTATTAATATCTATGCTCCAGTTGTGTGAGTGGAGAGAGTCGTGTTTGAGAAATGTAACAGTGAAGAATTGGAGAATTTAGCTGTACTGAAGACAGCAAGGTTGGACAGGAAACATGCAGATCCTCATGCCGCACTCGCCTGCTTCCGCTTATGGAAGCTGTGATGTGTGGAGAGGTTTTCATGGTAAGCAGCGACAATACACTTGGACACATGCTAAAGATAACTTATTGTCCATG